ATTTTCATTTTAAGTACAAATAATACAAAACACAAAAAAGTAGTGAAAGAAGGAATCCCCCCACCCTCAAAGAACAATCCCGGTGTCTGCAGTCACACCACAAATTAGATATACACACAAGTGTACATATTTACATAATATACATACACATGACTATTACTCCTGCACAGTTACAGATGGTTGGTCAAAAAATACTAGAAAAGGCTTCCAAATCTGATAAAACTTTCTTTCAGAACCCCTTAGAACATATCTAATCTTTTCCAATTTGAGATGAAACAACACGTTTTTAATCCAATGTGAAACTGTGGCCGGGACAGCATCTTTCCACTTCAGCAGAATAGCTCTACCCCAACAGGTAGAGCTAACCCTTCCACATCCACCCCATACAAAAACAACAGTGGGCTCAGTGGGATTGAAACCCCAAATATGGAGGAAAATGCTTCACGAACAACATCCAAAAAGTGCTGTATCCTGGGACAGAGCCAGAACATGTGGATTAGATCAGCATCTGCTGATTTACATCTGTCACACATGGGATCCACTTGAGGGAACATTTTAGCCAGTTTGAGTTTGTGAAGGTGGACCCGATGGACCACTTTAAATTGAATAAGGCAGTTTTTTTGCACACATAGAGGATGAGTGAATTTTCCTTAAAATATCCTCCCAATCAGACTCATCAATAGAGAGTTGCAGGTCTTGTTCCCATGACCTTCTAATCACTTTACTAGATTGTACATTTAAATGTGAGATCCACCTAAGTATTGATGTCAGTTAATTGTTGAAAAGAGCCAAACATGTTCTCAAAAAATATTTTTTTAAACGATTTCAACCCCAGCTGCTGCCACCTGCGGAATGTTGAGTCTTGCATTGAGGGAGCGAAAATTATTTTGGATGCAATTGGGGTATGTAAACTCATTTTTAAAAGATTGTTGAAGAAGTGTTTCCGAAATTGTATGCAAATTTTAACAGAGTTGTGTACAATAGGATTACTAAACCGTATACTCCTAGATGATGGCATTGACCCCCCCCAATAACAGCTGCTAAAGACAGAGGCGCCGCAGAAAGCTTCTCCATCTCCACCCATACAGGGCCAATATTATCAGGTTAATAGTGCGCCCAAAATGACAAACAAAATAAATTAGTAGCCCAGTAATAATGACGGAAATTCGGGAGGCCAAGACCCCAATCCTGTTTTGGTTTCTGCAAATGTTCCTTACGCAGGCGTGGTTTTTTGCCATTCCAGATAAATGTAGAGATGGCAGAGTCAAGTTTCTTAAAATATGTATTAGGTATGTACACAAGCAGACACTGAAACATATATAGATACCTAGGCAGTATAGACATTTTCACTAAATTGACTCTTCTGACCAAGGTAAGATGAAAGGGTGACCATTTGCCCAAGTCTTGTTGCACTTTGTGTTGCAGTTTAGAAAAGTTGTCCCTAAAACAACTAGGTTACCTAGATATATAAAGCTATGTTTCACAATCTTAAAGGGTATTGTAATTCTTGCCAATTCGGATTCATCCAGATTTAAGGGTAGAAGCTCACTCTTGTGTAGATTCAATTTATAACCAGAAATTATCCCAAAATTATCAAGAAGATCCAAGATGGGGGGGATAGACGTCTCAGCCCTCAACACAAACAGCAGAAGATCATCGGCATAAAGAGAAAGTTTATGCTCAGTGCCCAACCTAGAGATTCCAGAAATAAAACGGCTGCACCTTATAGCTATAGCTAGTGGTTCAATCGCCAACACAAAAAGCAAGGGACTAAGGGGGCACCCTTGCAGAGTGCCCCGGTGGAGACGGGAAGGTTTTGAATACAAATCATTGGTAAGCACCATAGCTGAAGGGCCGGGGTATAGCAACTTAATCCATGCTATGAAGGAGCCACCGAAACCAAATTTCTGTCTCAAAAAGATAGTCCGATTCCACTATCTCAAATGCCTTCTCGGCATCGATGGAGAGAAGGCATTCAGAATCAGTGTCACAAGGATTATAGAGGATATTGAATAAACAACGGATACTAAAGAAGGATTGGTGGTTTTTAACAAACCCTGTCTGATCAGGGGATATAATTTTAGGCAGGACTTTCTCCAAACGACAGGCCAGGACCTTAGCAAGTCTTTTGTAATCACAGTTCAGCAGTGATATTGGTCTATAACAATCTAAGGGATCTTTATCTTTTTTGGGGGCTAGCATAATACAGGCCTGATTTAGACTGTCAGGAAGGAGTCCTCTGCTGAGTGAATCTGTATAGACTGTAGTTAAAATGGGGAACAGTTTTTCCGAAAATGCAGTATAAAATTCAACGGGGAAGCCGTCAGGGCCAGGGGACTTCCGAGACTGTAACAAATTGACTGACTCCAAAATCTCCCGCTGCTGTATAGGTGCATCCAAGACTGAGATGTCCTCCGGAGACAGGGATGGGATATGCAGATCCTTAAAAAAAGTCAGAAAGAAGGCTATCGTTGCAAGTATTATCAGACCTGTACAAACTATTATAATAGAGTTTGAATGCATTATTTATAGCTTGCTGGTCTGTAACAATACTACCGCCCTGGGAGGTTACCCCCTTGGTCTTTTTAGCCCTTACAACTTTCACTTGTCTTGCCAATACCTCCCCTGATTTATCCCGATGTTCATATATATTAATTCTATTTTTAAGAAGTAGATACTCTATTGAATGAGAGGTAAGTCTGTCATATTCAGCACCCACCCTCAGACGTTCCTTGTAGGAATGTTGGGATGGGTTCGAAGGGTGCATTCTGTCCAGATTAGCAATTTCTCTCTCTAAATATTTTTGCCTAGAAATAGACTCCCGCTTCTTATTAGCAGAAAACGAGAGGATTTGTCCCCTCAAATAGGCCTTGAGAGCCTCCCACACAGACGCAACAGAAATACCCGGGGTTAAATTAATCTCCAAAAACAAAGACATTTGATCTGAAATAAATTTAGTAAAATTATCATCACTCAGTAAGAGAGAATTAAATCTCCATAGCCACCTGGGAGAGACAACTCCAGGTAATTTGAGTTTCAATGATATGGTCAGAAATGACTATAGCCTGGTAATCGCACGACTGAACGTTTGTGGTCAAATTATTATCAATAACAAAATTATCAATTCTGCTGTACGTTTGATGAGAATTTGAAAAAAAAAAGGATATTGTCTGTCCTGACGGTGTAAAAATTGCCAGAAATCAGAGATGCCATAGGATAACAAAAAGGACTTTACATAAGCAGTGGATTTAGATGATGGATACCCAAGTCTGAAAGACAATCTGTCAATCCCAGGGTTCAAACAGAGATTAAACTCTCCTCCCATAATGAGCAAGTGATAATTTAGACAAGGCATGAGCCTGAAAAGATACGTTGGCCAACACAACATTGGTATTATACAGCGTTCCTGTAACTATCACATACCGCCCGTTAGAATCTGCCAAAACAGAGGATGGGGTGAAAGAATTTTTTTTATTTATTAATATAGCAACACCCCTGGCTTTACCTTGTAAATTCGAGTGAAAAAGCTGCCCCACCCATCCGAGCGTTATCTGAGGTCTTAAGTTGAGTTTCACATTCTTCAAATGTGTAAGAGCCTTTTTCCTTTTTATAGGCTGGTTCAGACCTTTAACATTCCAAGTAACTAAATCAATTAGACAAACCATACCTGCTAAACTCTATATTCAAGGCTAAACAAAAAATTCTGATACAGGAAAAAAAGGAAAAAGGAAGTAACAACGTATCAGATCGCAAATTGAGCTAGATGGCTCTGTGTTATGAGAGCGCAGGGGAAATGAGAAGCAATTGAGCGAGTTGGGGGGTGGTGCTAAACATTCAAACCTTGCAGAAACGGGTATAGGGTCTTTTTAATGAAAGGGGGAAATTTACATACCCAAGCTTTAAATCAGCGAGTTTAGTTTAGTTTCAGGAGGAGACACTGACACTTTTGCGGTGTATTTGCGTGGATAGGTTACGCACAGGTTGCAAAGACACGAACACAACATGCAGACAATAGTTCTGTGGCGTGTTTGCCTTTATATTACCGCGGCGCCATTTGCTCACAGCCGTGTTGTAGTTAGCGGCTCACAACCAGAGCGGCTGCGGAGGAGGCGGACTTCAGTTCACAGCAAACACGCGGGGCTGTCACACGCGTATTCTTTTAAAACATGAATTCCCAGAAGGTGTATGGATCTCACATTACATTTACAGGTACATTATTGTTTTTTTTATATTTTTTTTTATTAAATGATACAAAGACATACAAAAGTGACACATAGACATACAAAAGTGATACAATGACATACCAAAGTGATTGGTACAGCAACTGAAAAACATTGAAGCAGCGACAAAACATGGGGACATACAAAGACATACAAATATTAAGACAGCATGAAACATTACCATATGGGAGGTAGGGGTGTGTGCGTGTGTGTACGTTAGAGAGAAAGAAAAAAGAAAACATTCAATCGTCTAGAATAGATCATCAACACCCACCTTATTTAATCCGATTTTAATTTATGTTTTATGAGTTAAGAGATACTCCAGCCTCCGCCTTCTTTGCCTTTACAGGTACATTTTAAGGTATGAGACTTTTAAGGTATGAAACAACTGCAGAGTTGTTTAGCCACTCTAGACCGGGTTTCTCGGTGTGGGAGGACGGAGCAACTCTCGGTTTTTAGGTGGAAATCCTATGTTTTTTTTAAAATCTTTATCTTAATTGGGACAATGCACATTCATCAACATGGGTTTTTCAACATGGCGCCGTAAAGATGGCGCCGTGGCAAGAGCTCTGATGTGTGTCGTGGACCCGTGGTGCACACTGGGGTAGTCTTGCACAGTTTTTCCAATGTGGTTTTACTGAATCTGTACCAGAGTTAGCCATGAAGGATAACTCTGGATAAATTCACATACAATAGGCACAAACATACAGACACACACCTTGTTCTTGTTCGGTAGGAATGTACCTATAGTCTCCTTAAGGTTTGGTGTATTTGGTGCAGGTTTTGGCCTGTTCCACTGGCTACTGCTGCTTGTGTGCGGTTGGGCCAATGCCAGCGACGCAGTGGAGATCCTGTGTGTGTCGTTTCTGCTGCCGACGGCTCGCTGCGACCTGCACCTCTCCTCCGCAGACATGGGCGTCCTCACAGCCAGCATCTTCCTGGGTAAAAACACATCAGAAGAAACCTGTTCTATAATGTGTTTTATCTTAATTTTAAACATAGATTTTTAACATACTTTTCAAAGTTGAAGATGGAAAGGCCTTTTTTTCAAATGCATGCACCAGTTAGACCTGCACCCACTGCCTCCTCATAGAATGTAATGAAATCAAATCCCTGATAGACAGGTGTGGCCCCTCCCCATTGGTCTGACAGTTCTCAAGCATGCATAAAATTGTAAAATCCTCCAGGTCCAAGCCTAACTTTGCGGAGCATCACTATCAAGAGATGGTAGCTAAACAACCAAACTGAAACTCCACATCTGTCCAAGCCTGAGGGAGTGCAGTATTGTTTCTGTTTGTGTGTTGCAGGGATGATGGTGGGAGGCTATGCCTGGGGCTACCTGGCGGACCAGAGGGGGCGCTGTCGAGTGCTGGTCGTGTCCCTCGCTGTGAACGGAGTGTTTGGAGCACTGTCCTCCATGGCTCCAGGGTTCTGGCTGTTCCTTCTGCTACGGTTCATCAGTGGCATCGGGTCAGTGCAAAATTATAGAGAGTATACAGGGAAGTTTGGTCCATTTATAAAAACAGTTGTAACCAGGGCTCATACTCACATGCCTGCTGAAACCACTCACATTATTTTGTTACTTTTAGAGTAATATTGATTTTGGAAACTCAAAGACGCTTTACCTGTCATTATTCATTCACTCCATACCCAGCAATGATAAACTACAACTGTAGCCACAGCTGCCTTGGGGCACACTGACAGATGTGAGGCAACCAGTATGTGGCTTCGGCCCTTCCACACACCAGACTCATTCTAGGCAATGTGGGTGATATGTCTTGCCTAAGGACACAAAAACAGTTTGGCACTTTACAGCCACCCCATTGTGAGTCACCTGGTGTTCCCAGAGGTGTCTTGCCAATGGATACGACAGCAGACATCAGTGGGAGTCGGTGCAGAAAGTCTTGTGGTGGGCTCAAACCCATGACCTTCGGGCTCAAAGGCCAATGCTTCTACCAACTGAGCCACTGTTGCCCCAGTAGACAACGATAGGAGATGAGATGAAGTCAGCCTCTTTAGTCCAACTTATAACGATTAATATCACTCAAAACATGACATATTATACAGTATATCAAATGTCATGACATGTTATATTCCATCCATCCATCCATCCATTTTCTTCCCCTTAATCCATTTCTGGGTCGGGGGGGTGGCAGTCAGAGCGGCACCCAGTCACATAGCACCAGCCCCTCACTGATACTCCTGCAGGTGGTGAGTCCACAGGAGCTGAGATCTTTCAGTGGGGGCTTCAGGCAAAGTGGGGTTAAGTGCCTTGCCCAAGGACACAACAACAGCAGTCATCAGTGGGAGTCGTGAAGTAGGTCTTATGGTGGGCTCGAACCCACAATCTTCAGGCTCAAAGGCCAATGCTCTACCAACTGAGCTACTGTCGCCCATGTTATATTCCCACTTCTAGAAAACCCACTTCCCAACAAGATATATGGTGTGTGAGAAAACAATACATGTCACCATGTCACAATGTAATATAATTTATCTAGTTGCTAGCTCTTAAAATATTTTCGTTTCAGTTTTGTCTCTGTCACATCTTTTGATCAGCTTTTTCAGACAGAAGATTGAAAAAGGTTTCATGCTAGATTTTTGCACATTCCTCTTGTGTACTTTCTGTATACTTCATTTGAGCAACATAAATGTATCTCCAATAGCTGGGCCATAATTTATTTGAGCTGAACTTCGGCCAATTTGGTTAAACTAGATTTTCCAATGACAGTGAGTGCAAGTAATTGTGTTAGGCCCATGATAAAGCTGTACACTCCCCAAAAAATAATTACATGATTAAATCCATTTAACTAGTTCCAGTTCCACTACTACCCCTCTGATTACGCTAACAGACCCCCTGAAAGCCTCAAAAGAATAATGTTGGTGGGGGGGTCTCAAATTTTCTACAATGACTAAAAAATAAGAATGAAATATACATTTGTTACATAATAATATATATTTCTGTCAGTAAGATCCATCCATCCATCCGTTTTCTCCCACTTCATCATATGGCAAGATTAATATATCTAATAATCAAAATGTAATATTTGCTTGTAATTTACAAGCAAGTAGCTGTATGCAAATTAGCAATGCGCGCTAAACAGAATAGAGACAGGAATATTGTTGAAAATAGTTGGATTTAAGGTAAAACGCTGTTTTTGTCTATCGTTTTCACATCGCTAACGTTTTTGCATTCTGTGCAGTGTGTAAAGGTTTGTGCAAGAGCATGGTTAGTGCACCCTCCGTGGGTGTGTTGATCTGTGTTGCGCATCAGGGACCCCCTGAATATTGACAGGTATTACGCACACTGGCGGGAACCATAGACGGAGCGGAGGCTCATTCATTTGCGCATACATTAGCTGGCATGAGCCTGCCACATGGTGTTCATTTGCATTCATTCAAAAGTCCACAGCAGCTGGTCAAAAAAAACAACAACTAACTCAAAATTCCTGTCCATAAAAAAAGAAACACAATAGTTGATCACATTCAGTAAGTCCACTGCTATTGCAGAAATGTAAGCACATGTTTTAATGAAGTAAAAGTAAAAGCTTGTTTTGTTGTGTCTGCAGTGTTGGCGGGTCCGTTCCTGTTATTTTCTCATATTTCTCAGAGTTTATGCCCCGCTTGAGACGAGGGGCTATGATCAGCGCTTTGGCCACGTTTTGGATGGCTGGAAACATACTGGCAGCAGGTAAAAGTGACGCAAAGATGGCTTAAATTAATTATGAGATATATCTACAGATTTATACATACATATTGTTACAGTCCCGAATCCGGATCTATGACTGCAACACATACTGTAATACGTGAGAACAACACGATTATGAGATTTTATGCCATGGATTTTATTTAGAAATAATAGTAAAAAAATATTATTGCTGCAATCAGTGTGATATGCATGGATGTAGGAAATGCAAGTACCAACTCAAGGACAACCTTGGGTGTATGTGTATCTTGAGTGCAAGTGTGCATGTAAGGTTAAATCAAAAACACAGCGAGTGGCGTGGCATGGGACGAGTGTGTGAGGGGCTGAGAGCAGAGATGGGGACTCGCGAGTTGGACTAAAGTCGTTAGTTTAGACTTATCCCCTAAACACTCGGGACTTGACTTGGACTCGTCCCCTAAAGACTCGGACTTGACTCAGACTCGTGGTTTTAGACTCCTCAGTCCTATGGCATGGCCTGCTGACACTTCAGAGCCATTCATACTCAGTAGCACACAGGCTGGTAAGTGTGCGCGCTCTTTGGCAGTGATCGCGTGTATAGTGCATTCTTGACTGTGTGTGGTCCCAAAGTCAGTAAGTGCAGCTTTAATGAGTGGCAAAATGCATCCATGCTTCAGTATGGGCCGCTCTGTCTTTTGCCACTCAGCGAGGGGCGCAAGCGCGGGTGTAAGCAAAGATCCTCCTATTGACCAGATGCATCGATGTCATCCAGTCACGTGATTGTGCATGAGCTTACGGCGGAAGTATTGGAAACTAGCAATAGTAAGAGCAAAATGGACACAACTCTTGAAAAGCGTCCTCTCCTAAATCGAGGAGTGGCTGCTTCAAGCACATGCTTGATAACGTTAATTTAAGGATCGCCGAACTGAATGCAGACCAGTGGGGGAGGGTCCCAGCTCAAAAGTGGCCAAAATGACGTGCGCTGACATGCTGCAATACCACCCCGGGCCGATGGGGGTGGACCCAGAAGTAGAATTAGCCAATGCTGACATAAAGCATTGGCAGACCTCTCAAAAACGTCTTTACAGGATGGACCAAAAGTTGGCTCTTGGCCCAAAGCTCCGTTCCACATGTGTGTCAATGCTGAGGGGGGTGGATTTTTTTGGTCCACTCTAGTTTAGTTGCTGTGAATTTCTGAAGTCTCTCGTTCAAATGAATGGAGCTGCGCCGGCTGACGCATGCGCAGATGCGTTTTTTCACCATTTTCTTGTGGGTGGGACCACTCGCGGCCATTTTGGATTGCTCCAGTAGAGCACATTTTTTGGCCCATTAGTTAGAACGGCGGAGATAGGCGTGACTCTGTCCGTTAATAAATACAGTCTATGATGCTGACCCATACCTTCTTCCCACAATCAATTTTATCGATTAAATGAAATGTCTAATTTTGCCCGAATTCACCCCACATGATCTTTATCATTATGTCGTTAACAATGCATCCTCTTAAACTGGAGCGGATTTAAATGAACATTTTGCTGGTAGCATTAGCACATTAGCAATGCACTTTTCTGTCTACAGCCAAACATGATACATATTAGGGTTTAATATTTTTCCCGAAAATGAGACGTATCAAATCCCGGGAAAAGACGACGCCTTTCCCGGGAAATAGCTGTTGTTTGTAGTTGTTGTTTTTAGCCCAAGTCATGTATGACATCACTCAAATATATAATCCAACAAAAGCTGCCGTCTCCACTAGTGTTTCACCAAGCGACTTGCTAGCTTTGCTAAAGTAGCCATAGCGTTTTCAGACGTTTTGTTGATGGGCTTTCTTCAGGAATTTCACTATTATGAGATTCTAAATGTCTGCCCAATCCACTTGTCGACCAGTGACGTGTGGTTTGGAGGCACTGACTTCAGCCCAATCAGATGAACATATATCATATAAATCAACAGAACCTACAAAGCGGCTTATTCACAATTAGTTTGGCTACAGCAGAATGTTTTCCATGGCCCGCATTGTTTGCTCAAACAAAACGCAAAAGTTCGTAAAAGGCACATTTCCAATTGTGTTATGGGTCTTACCTTAGTTATTAACTCATTGAATGCCAGCCTATTTCAGAACAGGTACTCCCATAGTGCCAGCCATTTCTGATGATTTTTACTGATTTTTCAAGACCCACAGAATATTGTGTACTATGACTATCTGAAATCCGACACCAGATTCTAAAAGAATGGACTGTCTACTTTCCTCAGCAAAAAGAATTTTGTTTATAGCTTTTTTCGTTCCCCTGTAATCCTCCGTCGAGTAGAGGGAAGTTTTACTGAAATCACCAGAAATCACCAGAAAGCTGAGAAAAAACAGGCACAACATGTGCACCTACATGTTTTCAAACCATTCAGAGAGCAATGCTGCCACCTGCTGGCTCGATAAAATATGGTCTCAAGTCATCCCCAAACATATTAGATACAATAGACATCTGGGAACGTGAAAATAGCGAAAAAAGCAATTGACGTATTAATGCGTCAATGGCACACGACGTCACTATTTGCTTTGACGTATTTGTGCGTCACTGGGACACAATGAGTTAATGAACAGCACAGACCACTTCAGTTCAGACCAGTTTCATGTTTAAGTCCAGATAATAGTTTGAGCGCAGATATGTAATCCCCCATTTGGAAATAAGCCCAAAGAGTTTTAAAGCGTAAAACAAAACGGGTGCCACCTCCATAAACTCCTCCGTGTGTTCGCTGCAGCCGGCTCTCGGGCGCATCCAATTTCTAATATCAACCTTCTTACCCTTCTCCTCTCTTCCTTATCATTCCTATCGTCATTGGAAGTAGAACATTACCCTAAATGCATTTTATATTATCTTAAAATGTGTTATATGTATGTTAGCCAAACCTGTTGCTGCCCTTAGCAGATGGAAAAAAAGAAAGGAGCTTTCTGATAGAATTGGACGTAACCAAATTCTGGGCTCACATGTGCCCCGTACCCTGAGCCTGGCCTCATTACAAGTCGTGGTTTAGCGCGATTAAGACCCATATTTGTTTCAAAAACACAATTTATGAGCCATCCTCTCAGCTGTGGACATGTTGATTGTAAATGAAATATGTTTGAACTTTGAACAACAATAAACATGCTCTATAATAGGAGCGCACTGTATTTTTTTTTTACTTTCATTTCCCGTTTCCCGTCATAACATTTCCCGGGAATCGGGAAATAGTTTTGATCAGATTTCCCGGGAATCCCGTGTCCCGGGATTAAACCCTAATACATATTGATTGAGAGCAAAATGGTGAAAAACGCAACTGATGTGAAGATGAGATAAGAGATTCGTGCCACAGTGGGGAAATTTCAATCTTTCAGCGCACATACAACACAGTAGTAAGGACAAGCGTTTGTTGTGTCCTTTTCCTCCAAATAAATTAGTGTTAACTGCGAATTTGGGAGTACTTGGATTATTCCCAGTCCTTTTGATGGATTGCCGCTGGCCATCGTAGTCTTTTGTCTTCATCAGTAGCAGGTATCAGATAAAAAGACACATTTGGCTTATGTCCTTGCCTGTTTGTATAACCAACCGCACTGCAAAATATCACAGTTTTGGCTGTTATTTGGTGAAACAGGTTGTTTTGGTCAAGTTTCCGAAGGCTCGCAGTTAGACTTCTGCCGTCTGTCATGGAGAGTGGGCGTGGCCAGGACGTCACATGCAAGGGGTCAATAAGACCAGATACTTTTTTATTTGATTGAAGACAGACACTTACTATTTCTCTCACACTCAACTTCTGGAACTGGGACAAGGCAGAGTTTACTTTAGCTGATGTGATCTTTAATATCACGGTAGTCACTTTAAAGCTTCTTAATTTTTCTCCGAGCTGTGATGATGTCTGTGGATATCCATTCTCCTCTGTCCTTAGCACTACCTCTGCAAACACCTGGTTTCTGGCGGCACCATTGAGCTCATGCTGGTGTCCTCTCCTCAAATTGAGGAAAGTGTTGCCCTCATCCATGATCAAGGAATTGTTTACCATTCGGACATCTTTATGGGTTGAGGCAACGTGTTGTTTGTTATGATTTTTGCAACAGCTGACACAGCAGCTGAAGACTGATTGACAGTGCCTCTAACCAATCGCAATTGTTGTTCGCCGACGTCAGATTGTTTTGGTATTTACTCGGCCCGGCTAGAACCAGGGCCAAGCCTGCAAACCGGGGAAAGTCGGGTCGCATTGTTGACGCTTGCCATGTGAAAGCCCGAGCCAGGCAAAGAGTCGCATGAGGCTCAAGAGCCCGGGGTTGGCCTCCCCTGCTTGGGATCCTGCTCTATAAGATGGATTGTTTAGAGTGGGAAGCACGCTAAACAAAGGTGCCCTGTCAGAGGAAACTAAACATCCTCTCATCCTCGCCAAGGAATAACATGTATCCAGGCTCATCCTGAAGAGCGCTCATCCAAATCTTGGACCTGCAGAACTGACTCATACTGGGTTATCAAAGGCAAGTCTGCTGGTCAGAAGATCATTGGGGAGTACAGGCATTACACTGTAAGACCTTTGGAGCAGACAATTGGAGATTTACTTGTCAGAATTCTGCCCGACCATCCTCCATTTAAGAACACTGGTGTTGACTACTTTGGTCCAATTGAACTAAAGCTATGAAGATTGTGCTGTAGACATTATGGAGTAATATTCACCTGTATGACCAGCGGGAAAAACATTTGTTGCTGCAGAACGTGAATTAAAAGAAACTCTCGCAAGCTCTGAACCATGACACAATAAAGGGACTGTTGGTGCAGGCTGGGGTTCAATGGACATTTAACCAACCTGCAGACTCCCATTTTGGTGGTGTTTGGGAGAGAATGATTTGCATAGTAAGAATTCTTCATTCCGTCTTACACCAACAAGCACTAAGTATAGTCCAGTAAATAGTCTCAAAAATAATGGGTAATATTTCTTCAAACGATAGTCCAATTTGTCCTTCAGAATCTTGTCTCGAAACCCTGTTTTGTCCCATTCAGGTTACTCACATTATAATCTAATACTCCATGTCTTTAGGTCTGGCCTGGTTGGTGATCCCTAGACGCTGGGCTCGTTTGGAGAGCTGGAGGGTGTTTGTGGTCCTCTGCTCTGTCCCCAGTCTCAGCTCAGCTCTCATCTTCAAAGCCCTGATGCCTGAAAGCCCTAAGTTTCTCATGGAGGTATGAGAAACTTAGCCACTCTTGTTTTAGAAGTTTTAACCAACACATTTCATTGCATTATTAGGGTTAAATGGAAAGTTTTAGAATGTGAACTAATGTGTAATATATGACAAAATTACTAGAGAAAGCAATAAGAGCAATGACATTCTGCTAGAATTGGCGGTCTAACATGGTGCAATGTACATTTACAAAGCATCGGAATACGGAGTACGTTCTAAAGCGAGGATACAGTTCATGCAGTTACAGTACATGTAACCAATTTTCTTTCTTTCAACCGGGTTAAAATGAAGCAGGGGGAGGATACAGTTTCTATTTATTAGGCACATTTGCTTCACCATAACATATTTTGTTTGTCTTACATAAAAAGAAAAAAAAAAGCTCTATTCTAGTTGTTGTAGTATAACAAGTTTGAAAAGATAACTCAAAGAAGGGGTCTGGCAGACAGATATGTTTGTCTATGAGGTTCCTAAAATGTAGTATTGGCATGGATGGATCCAAACACAAGTCCAGGTCTGTTTTCTTACGAGAAAGCAATGTTGCATAATAGTTATAACCTCAGTGTAGCCTAGTCTACAAAAGTATTAAAATGACACATAAGTAATACATGTTTTATATATGTGTTATAAAAGGTTTGATCAACTGTATCCATGAATTTCATTTTGTGTTGTCACTTTATTTATTTTTTTACATTCTGTTGATTGGGTTTTCACAATGTTATGCAGTTTGGCAATTCAACAGAAAGTACTGATGCATTCGCATCGGCGGCAGTAAGTCAGACCTGTTTACGGTGCATGTTGGCCTCCGCCAAGGCTGCCCTTTGTCACCAGTTCTGTTCACTGTCTTTATGGACAACATTTCTAGGCCCAGCCAGGGGCCAGAGGGGGTGGGGTTCAGAGACCACACTATTCCATCTCTGCTGTTTGCGGACAATGTTGTCTTGTTGGCTCCAACGAAGCGGTGCAGCATGCGCAGTGATGCGGTCACTGTATCGGAACGTTGTGGTGAAGAGGGAGCTGAGGCGTAAGGCAAAGCTCTCGATTTACCGGTCAATCTTCGTTCCCTCCTTATGGTCATGAGCTTTGGGTAATGACCGAAAGGACAAGATTGCGGATACAAGCGGTTGAAATGAGCTTCCACCGCAGAGTGGCTGGGCGCTCCCTTAGAGATAGGGTGAGGAACTCAGTCACACGGGAGGAGCTTGAAGTAGAGCTGCTGCTTCTCCATATCGAGAGGAACCAGTTAAGGTGGCTCGGGTATCTGCTCTGGAGGCCTCCTGGACGCCTCCCTGGGGAGGTGTTCCGGGCACGTTTCACCGGGAGGAGACCCCGGGGAAGACCCAAGACACGCTGGAGGGACTATGTGTCTCAGCTGGCCTGGGAACGCCTTGGGGTCCCCCCTGATGAGCTAATGTGTGTGTGGATAGGGAAGTCCGGAGCGTTTCTGCTTAGACTGCTGCCCCCGCGACTCTGCAACGGATGAAGCGGAAGAAAATGAATGAATGGATGGAACAATAAGAGCCACTGTCATATTCCACTCATACAAATGATACATAGAAATAGCTCCAGTGCTAGCAAAGGTCACTCTGCGTGGGGGTGGGTTTGATCAAGTTTCTGGTGTTTTACGTGTTTGTTTTGGACCCACCTCCTGACAGTTTTGCCTTACGCAACTTAGTCTGCTTTACTCTTGTCACTCTCCTTTACTTAAAAAAACTGCCATATGGCCAACATCTAGTCTGCTTGCCGTTAGCCGTCGTGCCGCTAGCATGATTGCGGCTCGCCTTATTGCGGCTAGCTTGATTGCCGCTAGCCTGCTTGCCGCTAGCCCGTAGCCAGCCTGCCGGTATCTTGCTTTCTCTCCGCAGACTTTTAGGGATCATGGCGACAAGTGGCGCACAGATGTCTGCTGTCGTGGCGCTAATGTAAAATTAAAATGTGGGTATCGGTTCCTATGGTATGAGTATGAGTACAGGTGCAAGTCTATGGTATCACCCAGATACCCAATACCAGAATCCGTATCTTTGCATCCCTAGATTAGACCATCTCTCACAATCTGCAGAAGTCTGTTCTACCAATTGAGTAACACTTTGAAGTAGTACCCAGTTAAAAAGATTAGATAATGGTAATTCCCATGTATACAGTGGGGCAAAAAAGTATTTAGTCAGCCACCGATTGTGCAAGTTCTCCCACTTAAAATAATGACAGAGGTCTGTAATTTTCCTCTATAGGTACACTTCAACTGTGAGAGACAGAATGTGAAAAAAAAATCCAGGAATTCACATTGTTGGATTTTTAAAGAATTTATTTGTAAATTATGGTGGAAAATAAGTATTTGGTCACTTCAAACAAGGAAGATCTCTGGCTCTCACAGACCTGTAACTTCTTCTTTAAGAAGCTCTTCTGTCCTCCACTCGTTACCTGTATTAATGGCACCTGTTTGAACTTGTTATCTGTATAAAAGACACCTGTCCACAGCCTCAAACAGTCAGACTCCAAACTCCACTATGGCCAAGACCAAAGAGCTGTCGAAGGACACCAGCAAAAGAATTGTAGACCTGCACCAGACTGGGAGGAGTGAATCTACAATAGGCAAGCAGCTTGGTGTGAACAAATTAACTGTGGAAGCAATTATCAGAAAATGGAAAACATACAAGATCACTGATAATCTCCCTCGATCGCAAGATCTCATCCCGTGGGGTCAAAATGATCAAAAATCCCAGAACCACACGGGGGGACCTGGTGAATGACCTGCAGAGAGCTGGGACCAAAGTAACAAAGGTTACCATCAGTAACACACTACGGCGACAGGGAATCAAATCCTGCAGTGTCAGACGTGTCCCCCTGCTGAAGCCAGTGCATGTCCAGGCCCGTCTGAAGTTTGCCAGAGAGCACATGGATGATACAGCAGAGGATTGGGAGAATGTCATGTGGTCAGATGAAACCAAAGTAGAACTGTTTGGTATAAACTCAACTCGTCGTGTTTGGATACTGAGTTGTATCCCAAGAACACTATTTTATTTTTTTTTTCTATATTTAAATGCACTATCATTTGATCGCTAATAAAAACTTTCATTGCTTCCCAAAGAGTCTGTCTTGAAATTACCTGGAATCATTTCATAATCAGAATAATTTTTATTGCCACGTAAGTAACAGGAGGTCACAGACTTGGAAATTGCTTCAAAATTTGTTTCAAAACATAAAGATATGGGATAGTTTTTCACATTTAACATATTTTTTCCCCTTTGTTTGTGTCTTCAGGCCGGACAGGAGAAGGAGGCGGCTCGTGTGTTTCAACTTGTGGTCAGGGTGAATACACGGGGAAAAGGAAATGGCAAGGTACGTTTTGAAGTTGTTATTTTCAGACTGTGATAAGGAGCATGTGCATTTGCAAACAGATCACATTAAAGGCATATAATTTAAAGCGGACTGTAGGAAATCAGCCATTTACAATCGCTATTCTAATAAAATGGAGTGAAAGTCGCTTAGTTGGTAGAGGATTGGGCTATGTTCCTGATGGTTGTGGGTTCGAGCCCACCACAAGACCTACTTCATGATTCCCACTTCTGTCGTTGTGTCCATGGGCAAGACACCATTTTGTCTGAAGTCCCTGCTGAAAGATCAGACTTCTGTGGACTCACCACCTGCAGGAGGATCAGTGAGGGGCTGGTGCTATGTGGATTGGGTGCAGTTCTGACTGCCACCCCCCTGACCCAGAAATGGATTAAGGGTAAGAAAATGGATGGATGTAAATGGATGTAGGAAATCAACTTTTCTAAGCTTTTAATAGTAATATTAATGCATTGGTTATATACAGCGCTTTTTGGATACTCCACGGGTGTTTTCACTTTGGCTAAAGGCTTGTGTGCACTCGCTCGGCAATGGTTACGTTTGCGGTTGGGCTGAACCTACGCAGCTCGAGCGCACCCCCGTGCGTAGTTTTGAAGAGAATGTTGTAATCCCACACCCAACCACGTGATGGCGAACTCACAGGAGTTGCCTGAGAAACCAAAGCGGTCCCATTTACGCTGCTACTTTCTCCTCTTCAGAACAAAAACAATAGCGAACCAAGCTGTTTGAGATCATTACATGTGTTTCTACTGTAGGTTTATCGTTTCAACTTGTTTAACTGTGATGTGGTGAATAAAGACACAGTTCTTGTTGGAAACATAGTTATTATTAAAGTGTATTCAGCACAAGGAGCAGAGCAATAAGTGGTAAATATCTGACACAAACATTAATTATGTGCAGGAGGAATGCAACGATAAGCTACAAGCGCAGAATCAAAAAAAGACTGGCGCAAGAACAGTGCAAAAGAAACGACTGCACAGTTTTTTAGATATGAAACAGAAGTCTAGTCCACTGGCTCCGCGTATATCAGGCTCTGCCATGAGCCAACTGCTTTTCCATCGGTTCCTTCGAAGCACGAAGCAATATGCTCCAAAGCTCCTCGTCCATGTTCCCTGCAGCCGCCCCATGCTTCCCAGAAAGTAATCACACACGGACCAATCACAGTGGAGCTTCTCTGCGGCGCCGGCTGCGTAGACATATTTGAGGGTGCACGGCAGGCTACGCAAGGGTCTTGCGGTGATCCTCGCGTTGCGCAAGTGATGTCACGTCATAGTATATTGCTACAATAACCGCAACAGAGTTTTGCCTCTTGTTATATACTCTTTGTTCACATGCAGGGGGTGCCACTTATGTTAATGTTATAGTGGTTTTCCCTTGTCATTTACACTCAAATCTGCTTTAGCATGATTCCTGCATCAGTTACTCGCACCGCCATTGCTCTCCCCTTAGTACTCTGACTACCGGCACCCAGCCCCTTCCCCTGCCGATATCTAGCCCCTCCCTGGGTTGTACTTACAGTGCCTTGCGAAAGTATTCGGCCCCCTTGAACCTTTCAACATTTCGCCACATTTCAGGCTTCAAACAGAAAGATATACAATTTTTATTTTTTGTCATGAATCAACAACAAGTGTGACACAATTGTGAAGTGGAACGACATTTATTGGATCATTTAAACTTTTTTAACAAATAAAAAACTGAAAAGTGGGGCGTGCAATATTATTCGGCCCCTTTATTTTCAGTGCAGCAAACTCAATCCAGAAGTTCAGTGAGGATCTTTGAATGATCCAATGTTGTCCTAAATGACTGATGATGATAAATAGAATGCACCTGTGTGTAATCAAGTCTCTGTATAAATGCACCTGCTCTTTGATAGTCTCAGGGTTCTGTTTAAAGCTCAGAGAGAACCATGAAGACAAAGGAACACACCAGGCAGGTTTGAGATACTGTTGTGGAGAAGTTTAAAGCCGGATTTGGATACAAAAAGATTTCCCAAGCTTTAAACATCTCAAGGAGCACTGTGCAAGCAATTATTTTGAAATGGAAGGAGTATCAGACCACTGAAAATCTACCAAGACCCGGCCGTCCCTCCAAACTTTCATCTCAAACAAGGAGAAGACAGATCAGAGATGCAGCCAAGAGGCCCATGATCACTCTGGATGAACTGCAGATAACTACAGCTGAGGTGGGAGAGTCTGTCCATAGGACAACAATCAGTCGTGCACTGCACAAATCTGGCCTTTATGGAAGAGTGGCAAGAAGAAAGCCATTTCTCAAAGATATCCATAAAAAGTCTTGTTTAAAGTTTGCCACAAGCCACCTGGGAGACACACCAAACATGTGGAAGAAGGTGCTCTGGTCAGATGAAACCAAAATCGAACTTTTTGGCCACAAGGCAAAACCATATGTTTGGCGTAAAAGCAACACAGCTCATCACCCTGAACACACCATCCCCCCTGTTAAACATGGTGGTGGCAGCATCATGGTTTGGGCCTGCTTTTCTTCAGCAGGGACAGGGAAGATGGCTAAAATTGATGGGAAGATGTATGGAGCCAAATACAGGACCATTCTGGAAGAAAACCTGTTGGAGTCTGCAATATACCTGAGACTGGGACGGAGATTTATCTTCCAACAGGACAATGATCCAAAACATAAAGCCAAATCTACAATGGAATGGTTCACAAATAGACGTATCCAGGTGTTAGAATGGCCAAGTCAAAGTCCAGACCTGAATCCAATCGAGAATCTGTGGAAAGAGCTGAAGACTGCTGTTCACAAACGCTCTCCATCCAACCTCACTGAGCTCGAGCTGTTTTGCAAGGAAAGATGGGCAAGAATTCCAGTCTCCCAGTCTCTGAGAGACATACCCCAAGCGACTTGCAGCTGTAATTGCAGAAAAAGGTGGCGCTACAAAGTATTAGAGCAAGGGGGCCGAATAATATTGCACGCCCCACTTTTCAGTTTTTTATTTGTTAAAAAAGTTTAAATTATCCAATAAATTTCGTTCCACTTCACGATTGTGTCCCACTTGTTGTTGACTCTTGACAAAATATTTAATTTTTATATCTTTATGTTTGAAGCCTGAAATGTGGCGAAATGTGGAAAGGTTCAAGGGGGCCGAATACTTTCGCAAGGCACTGTACTTCCTTTTGCCATTTATTTTCTGAATCGGTGATCCGTGGGTTTTCACCAGCGTCGCACAGTCAAAAATTAGACTTCATGCCACGTAGACTTAATAAGATTTTTGTTTCAAAAAGACAAACACTTTAGTCTCCAGTATCAAATACTGGCCTTTGTGTGTTTGGTCTAACCACACAAACAATCACTGACACTTCCTCAATGGGCTATGTGGGATGAGGGGACCTTAAGGTGGTGCTACTGGTTATTATTCTGTTCTCTTATTATTGCTCTTATGAAGCTTTTTTCAGCTATTTAAAAAGTATTCACTGCTACTTGTCTCTGTATATTGTGTGTGCTCCTTGTGTGCTCTTACTACTGTCCTGTTTGTGCGAAATTTCGCACAAACAGGACAAGGTTCTCTTATGTTTTCTTATCTTATTGCAGGAGTTTGCTCTGTGTGTCTCATCCATACGTGACAGCAGCTCTAAAATGTTACAGAAGGAGAAATTTGGCAGTGTTTTCAAAAAGGTATTTTTTTTCCTGAAGAGTTAAAGATGGGGTACCTGACTTTTAAACTACTGTATGTAATAACATCCATGTCACTAGTTCCTTGCTCGCAAAACAGTTTGGTTCTTTCACTAGTTTTCGCATGCGTGTATTTTTGGTCACTCTTTGGATCATTTTTTTCAGATAGAAAAGAGAGCACCACTCAGCCAATCAACTGATCACTATTTATAAATTAATATATAGATATTTATTTATATATAAATAAATATTTATATTTATTTATAAATAAATAAATAATTTATTTATTTGGGTGTTAAAAGGAGGTACAATGCATTTTAATGAACATTTAACAAATATAAATATGCCAAATTATAGCCTTAGGCTAATATCCATCTGCAGACCCCCTGGCAGGTTGATGTTACAGAAGAACATAAAAACGACGTAACAATACAAATCATGCAAAGAATACAATGTACACAAGACTATATACATGTGAGACAGTATACAAGAATTGACAGAAGGACTTGAGACATTGTATTGCACAACATCCTATTGCACGATTCCCTACTGCACTGTTCCCTACTGCGCTGTTCCCTATTGCACTGCTCCCCATTGCACAGCTCCCTATTGCACTGTTCCCTATTGCCCTCTTCCCTATTTATCAGCATACAAAATGGTGTCCACATTCTTACATATGCTTGGTAAGTCATTAACATACAGTGAGAAAAGTAAGTGAGTAAGTAAAGCTGTAATGGAGATCTACTGTCACCTACTTGCACACACTGCTGCCGGTCTGAAAGATTTGATTTCACCCACTGAACCGAATGATCGCTGGAATTAAATACAGACAGTCTTGACAGGAGCTCTACATGACTGATTGTGTCAAATGCACGTTTAAAATCAACAAAGACAGCTGCAACACAGCTATTTACACAGACAGTTGTTTCTGTTGAGTGCTGGGACCTAAACCCAAATTGCATGGGGTGTAGGCCTATGCCAGTGTTAAGATGTTCTGTAATAGATTTGGCCACCCATTTTTCAGCAATCTTTGAGATGGTAGGCAGAATGCTGATGGGCCGATAGTTAGCAGGGTCTGTTTTGTCACCCGATTCATGGATACGTGCAAAGCCAAAATGTATTATTTAAGAAAAAGTTAGTTAACCTAACTTTATAATGTGTGAAATGTTATGATCCTATGCTTTTCTCATTATATGTTTTGTCTTTACTGCTTTAGTTCCTGTCACCAGTCAGAGAGATATTTAAAAGCACATTAGCAACACGGAGCACAGCATTACTCATCATTTTCTACTGCATCTCCTTTGGGTAAGAAAAAACATGTTATAATATTGTTCCTCAGAACAGACCTGGAATTTATGGGGTAAGGTTACTGTCAATAAAGGCGTGCATATCTAAAAAAAAATGCGTGCATATTTATTGGTATTTGTGCATAAAAATATTTTATTAATTCATGAATAAGATAATACAAACTAAAAAGACATGCAATTTCATAATTAAAGTGATAGTATGTAACTCTAAATGAATTACAAATTTTAAGAATTGTAGTAAATTGACCTCCTGGCCTTAAATGTTGATATAAAATAAGTCATTTTATTAATTCTAATATTAAAGTTAAGTCCTGCCTTCCCTTCTCTTAGCTATAGCTCAGAATCCACGATGCCGTCCACGTTAACCAATCAAGTCATGCCAAGGGCTGTCAATCATCGCGCTGATGCTCGTAGCTTCGCGCATGCTCAGTTGTTTGTTTTCGCGGAGCCTCTGAATCAAGCTCTGGAACTACATGAAAACTGAACAAAGAAACATCCACGCTGAGTTACCTATTTACAGTATATACTGAACCTATATCCATAATCAGATCCTCTGCAGATCTGTCCTATAATGTGCAATTAATGATAATAGCTTCTTCCGGGTTTGCCGTGATCGTTTTTTTGTGCATTAAAACCTTTTTTTTCCATGAAAACTTTAACAGATAATTCTGAAAACCTCCGTGAATGTGTATTAATAATGTATATGTATAATGTGTTCTCTCATTAACATTTAAATGTGTTACGGAAACGTAGGTGTAGACCAATCAGAAAGGAAGGGGGAGGGAGCTTGCGTCGTTTTTTTCAAATCAAGTACCTCTCTCTCTCTCTTTCAGACAAACGGCAGACAATCACTTTAAGAATAAAAAAATAGAAAACTGTATGTGTGATTTCGTACTTGTGAATACAATTCTTTTGTGTGCTAGCATTTTCTTCTTTGAGAATATGAATTTCAGCAGTCAGCAAACGGTCAATATTATGTCACTGCTCACAGACATTAACAATCGAGCCTGCGTAGAGTTGATCATGGCAGAGGGCAACAGCCAATGACTGTACAAATCAGGTATATAACTATATTTGATTGTAAATACATTTGTAAGAAATATTAATTCCATAAGATGTGTTCATAAGAAGATGTTTCTTGTCCCTCTCTAGAAAGTTTTTTTCGGCAGTGTTTAGTTAACGCTAGCTTCAATGCTAGTTTTACAGCTTACGATGTTATTTTAAAACCAAAATGTTTACATTTGATGAGGTCTTTGCCCCCAATCAATGTGGTTAATGTGTTAATACCTGCCCCAACCCTCCATATTGCTCAGGGGTAGTAACAGCGCAAAATATAGATAATCTGAAGTTCACCTCCGTGCTATACTCATCTTTGGTTGCTAGACGTAGCAGACCCTGTTGCGCCCTGTGGGCCTCAATCTTATATTTGTGAGTAAATTTGACACATTACTTTTACTCACTAGTTCAGTAACGCTAGTTAGTCTGTTGTTTAGACTAAAATAAATGCATTACAACACTGCCAAAAAAAACATTTCTAGAGAGGGACAAGAAGCATCTTCTTATGAACACATTTATGGAATCAATATTTCTCACACATTCATTTACGACCAAAATGATATAATGAAAATATAGTTATATACCTGATTTTGAGCCACGTTGTTAATGTTGTTGCCCTCTGCCATGTTTTAGTTTTACGGCAATGAAGTTGATCAACTCTATTGTTAATGTCTGTGAGCAGTGATGTAATATTGACAGTTTGCTGACTGCTGAAATTTGTATTCTCAAAGAAGAAAATGCAAGCACAAAAAAAAAAATCGTATTCACAAGTACAAAATCACACATACAGTTTTATATTTTGTTATTCTTAATTACAAAATTCCATGTCTTTTTAGTTTGTATTATCTTAATCATGAATTAATAAAATCTTTTTATGCACAAATACCGATAAATATGCACGCATTTTTTATAGACATGCACGTTTTTATTGACAGTAACCTTACCCCATAGGAATTGTTTTTAGATCAGTTCATGCTAATATAATAATAATAATAATAATAATAATAATAATAATAATAATAATAATAATAATAATAATAATAATAATAATAATAATGCATTGTTTTTATATAGCGCTGTTTTGGACACTCAAAGACGCTTTACATGTCATTATTCATTCACTCCATACACGGTGGTGATAAACTACTACTGTAGCCACATCTGCCCTGGGGAACACTGACAGAAGCGAGGCAACCAGTCTGTGCCATCGGCCCCTCCGACCACCACCAACCATTCACACACACACCAGACTCATTCTAGGCAATGTGGTTGAAGTGTCTTGCCTAAGGACACAATGGCAGTTTGGCACTTTACATCCGCAGCCGCCCCACTGTGGCATCAGGTGTTCCCAGAGATTAAGTGTCTTGCCAAGGACACGACAGTAGACATTAGTGGGAGTTCACTTCACTGTACTGCTGTCACCTTACATTGTGTGCACCATGTGCACTTGTATATTGTAATTAGTAATTGTAACTCTATTTTAAATTTAAATGTATTCCTTAGAAGTGTTTTTTATTCTTTATTTTTTATTATCTCTTTCTGACTGTTGCACTGAGCCAAAGCAATTTCCAAGTCTGTGACTTCCTGTTACTTACGTGGCAATAAAAATGATTCTGATTCTGATTCGGTGGAGAAAGTCTTGTGGTGGGCTCTAACCCCCAACCTTCTGGCTCAAAGCCCAATGCTCTACCAACTGAGCTACTGTCGCCCATAACGTGTATTTCCGACCCTTTTGTCTAAAAGGTCCTAACTGTGTAAAATTACCACTACGACATCTTTCTCTGAGCAGTTTTCTGCCTTTAAAACAAATGTATTGCACATGAATTTGTTTCCATTTTTTTTTACTACTCGGGTAAAAAAACATATTTTCTACTAAAGATATTATTTCACATTCTAAAACATGTACTAGTACTAAGTTGTCATTATAATTTTTAATGGACAAAAATAATGCAACATATTTCTTCTTTCAACTTGTTTTGTGCTTAGATTTAGTGTGACACAAACGATTACTGAGCTAGGGGAGTTTACTTTTGAATGTAAGTCAATAGGAGCCATAGCGAGTTTTCCATGAGCACTTCCCTAGCATTAAGCGAGGGGGTAAGCATTGTCCATCTACTGTATATACACTCTGTGGTTGTATAAGTACCTTTGTAAGCCACTGTATGTAAAAAAATAAATAGAAGAAACGATAACATTAAAATCCACAAAAAAAAACTTTCATTTCAAGTATTATACATATACTGTACATGTTGTATTTTTCATCAAACTCCACTGTGGCATTGGTTTCATGTGTGTAGATATTACGGCCTGTGGATGTGGTTCCCGGAGCTGTTCAAGCGGCTGGAGGACGGGGGCTCGCCTTGTACCAACGTGTCCAGAGTGTATGCCATCAACAACCAGAGCTGCTACCCTGTGAAGACTGCAGGTTGTTGACTGATTTAAAATTTCACGGAGTGCCTCATTTTCAAGCCACAAAAAATGTAACCATTTACTACAGTCCAGAGAGAGAGACCAGAGAGAGATCAGAGAGAGAGAATGAGAGAGACTAGAGAGAGAGAAAAAGAGAGCAAGACCAGAGAGTGATACAAGAAAGAGAGACCAGAGAGACCAAAGAGAGAGAGAAGAGGGTGAGAACCGGGCCAGAGAGAGAGACCCGAGAGACCGACCCGAGAGACCCGAGCCAAGGGGCGAGGCCAGACATACACATGCATGTACAGTATGTTTGACTGGCCTGCCAGACTATATGCTTTTTCAAAGTATAGTATAGTCTGGGAGGGAGTTGATCTCAGCGGTTTCCTGGTGCGCGTGATGGACTGAGTGCATCAACCAATTAGAGGAACGGCGGGTATGACTTAGCAACAAGTGGCACTAAGCCACTCAAAACAAGGAAGCGATGCCGGCATGTCAGCTAGTTCAGATGTAACCAACTGCTGTTGTCTTTGTAACAAAAACTTAAAGATACAAGGAGTTATTAGCAACTCAACCTGACCAGATGGTTCTTATTTTGAATAGAAAGGAGAAGTGTCTTCAGTGAGAGGAGCATCCTCACTGAGCTTATGAGATCTCTGCCCAAATGTCAAATAGTGACTCATAGGGCTCTTTATTTACACAAAAAAAACATGTTTTCAAAAAGGAGAAGCCAGCATGTTGTGGTTTGATTAAATGACTTTCAGTTGGGACAAAGAACATGTAATTGTGAAAACATAAAGTTAAGTATCCCAGATTTAAATGACGAGCTTTAGAGATTGCAATTCCTGCTGACACCAGTAAATGTCGGAGGAGGCCTAGTTTCAATTGAAAGGCTGCTTTTGATCCATGGATCTATTATAATAACTGGATAGGGTATTTCTAGCTTGGAGCTGAAGAACTCATGTGCTTGGGGGATTCTCGCGGTACTGCAGACTAAACGAGACTAAATTCACGTGGGCTACCCAGAAATTTTCCCCATAGAACTCAATGTAAATTAAAACAGCGCGACCTCAGCTGACAGAGAACCTACAGCTTTAATAAAGGTCGGATTTTGTGGGCCCCCACTGAAAGATCAAGGCTATGCTCACACTCAGAGAGCAGCCGTCCTCCTGTGGACTCACCGCCTGCAGAGGGTCAGTGAGGGGCTGGTGCTATGAGACTTGGGTGGCATCTGTGATTGCCACCCCCCTGACCCAGAAATGGATGAAAGGGTAGAAAATGGATGGATGGATGGATTTTGTGGGGATTTTAATGTCCCTTGTCATCTTGAACTTTTGTTCTTCTTAAGTCCTTCGGTTTTCTTTAAATCCACACTTTAGTGCCACAAACTCTGCCCGTCTGGCTCTCGCTCTAACTCCCGCTCTGACCCGTCAAAGCGCAGCCGAGCCCCTCTGTGCATGTGCGTGAGACCCGTGTGAGACCCACACACGCGTGTTTGGCGCATTATGGGAGATAATCCACTGCGCAGAACCGTGAGGACCAGATGATGCCCAAATACAGGCGAGTTTCCCATAGATCTTTGCGAGTTCCAGGCGACTTCCGCTAATCTTTCAGCCCCCATGCCGCCACAAAGCGCCACTGAGCACAACCATTCATTTGAATAGGGCGCCATCTTGGATTGCCGGGGCTTGTTTTGATCATAGACTGCATACATATCATGGATCTATAGATACATATGGACATATGTAACCCGCTAGCTCGAGGAAGTCCATTAGGGAAGTGCTTGCAGACAATAGTTTTGCTCTAACTCGCGCTAGCTCCTATTGACTTACATATAAACGAAAACTCCTCAAACTCGGTAAACATTTGTGTAACACTCACCATTTTGGGCTTAAAAAGTCTCATCTCATGGAGTTTGCAGCTTTGTTTTTAAACATTTCTTTTTCTTTTTGACAGTTTACATGGAGGGTTTCTTCATCGCGGCATCAAATCTACCTGGAAACATCTTCACTATTCTGATGATGGACAACATCGGAGGAAAGGCTCTTCTATGTGAGCAGCTTGTTTAGACTAATTATAATATTGTGGTTAAAACTGTTTTGAATTGTGGAGAGAGAGACTTCTTTTCCCAAGATAAAAAAACAGTTAGACCCGCCCATTCTATCCATCTCTGCTTCTTGATTGGACAGAATTAATTTTATTTTCTTATACACAGATAAAACCCCTTGTCATGAGCTGAACTATCCTCCTCGAGATAATCTTATCGGTGGTTGTTAAGCCAAGGAGAGAGATTGTAATAAATATATTGTTTTTGAAAATACTTTACACAAAATTACAGGGTCATATGGTCAAAAATATAAATTATCCTAAAAAAACGAATACAGGAATGTGTACCCTCACATAATGTTCCATGTTGGAAATGTCTGATCGGTTGTCACATGGACTGACCTGTTTTCATTTTTTTAAACTGAAGTATTGACTGTAATACATTAAGGGATTCCTTTAATTGCCTCTCCAAATGGATCAGGACATGTTCTCCCACTTCTGCCACTAGATGGCAATGTTTACCCCTTCTGACCATCATTTCTATACATTTATACACAATACAATAAAATACAATTTATTCTTGTATAGCCCTAAATCACAACAGCAGAACCATTGAAATCACCAACACAGATCAGAGAATCAACAGTTAAGACACATAAGACAAATAAAGAACACAAGTTGATAATTGTCCATACATGTTGTAAGAATGTTAATTTAAAGTGTCTTGGATCATCACCACAGTCCTTTTTTGTTAGACACAACTGTCCACCAGACCTTCCTGCATTGGCAAGGAAAAAATCACAAAATCCCAGTGGGGAAAAAAGTGAGAAACCTCGGGGAGACCCACATATTGAGGGAGGGATCCGCTTCACACGGACGGATGGGTTATAGATCCAGGACCTAAGCTACAGAACGTGGACCAGGGCCATGTAGTAGGCCGGGTAGGGTAGGGTAGTCTGCAGGTGTAGATGGAGGAGCAATTAACAGACTACAGTCAAAATCCTAATAATGCAGACAGTTAAAGTAGGAAGGAGGAGAGGTCAGTGCTCAAGTTACCATACTTTCCCCAGCAAACTAACTCCCTACGCAGCTTGACTGACAGTCTAAGATGTTTAGCCTTCCCTGAGTCTTATTTCCCTAACCATATGCTAAACTGAGGAGGACTGTTTTAGCCTAGCCTAGAACGTAGGGTTGAAGATGTAGCGGACCGGATCCCATACAAGCAGACTCTAAGACCAGACAAGACCTGACCGGACAAACAACCAAGTCATATGCTAAATTGAAGAAGAGTGTTTCAAGCCTGGCCTTGAAAGTAGAGACTGTGTCTGCTTCCTTAACGTGGATGGGAAGCTGATTCCACTGTAAAGGAGCTTGGTAGCTAAATACTCTGACACCAACAGTGCTTTTTGAGACCTTAGGAACCACCAGACGTCTGGCGTTTTGTGAGCGCAGTTTCCGGCTTGGTTGATATGACATCAACATGTCTTGAAGATTAGAAGGAGCCAAGCCATGTATGGCTTTATATGCCAAAAGAATAATTTTAAACTTTATTCTGTACTCCACAGGAAGCCAGTGGAGTGATTTTTAACACCAGAGTTATATTCTTCCTCCTTTAGGTGCCTGTTAAGGTCCTTGCTGCTGTATTCTGAATGAGCTGGAAGCTCTTCAAAGAAGTTTTAGGACATGCTACCAGCAAAGCATTACAGTAGTCAAGCCTTGAAGCGTGAATCAGTTTTTCCGCGTCAGGAAGGATATTCTTGATTTTAGCAATGTTCCGCAAGTGGAAGTTTTAGTTGCTTGGTATATGCCTTGAAAGAGAGTCCTTTGTCGAAAACGACTACAAGATTCCTCACAGTGTTGCTGGGTGCAGCATATAGAGCGTGAACAGAATCGGTCCGAGCACCGATCCCTGAGGCACAACAAATTCCACTCTAGAATAGGGCGACGAGTTATGATTCACATTGATAAAGTGATACCGATCCGATAGATAGGATTTAAACCAGCCAAAGGCTGTTCCTCTGGGACCTATGTCACATTCCAGCCTCCGTAGTAGAATGCTGTGGTCTGTTGTATCAAACGCAGTGCTGAGGTCCAGTAGGACTAACACTGACACTTGTCCATTATCAGCAGCTAGAAGTAAGTCATTTAGGACTTTGACTAGTGCCGTTTCAGTGCTATGATGAGCTCTGAAATCTGATTGAAAGACTTCAAATATATTATTATCCTGCAGGTGGCAGCAAAGCTTTTCCAGGATTTTACATATGAAAGGTTTGAGATCGGTCTGTAGCTTGGAAGTCGTTCCGGATCCAGGTTTGTTTTCCTCAGAAGGGGTTTGATTACAGAGGTTTTAAAAACTTGAGGGACATAGCCACATTATATAGATTTATTATATTTACGAAGGCTCTATTATCAAAGGAAGTGTGTCTTTAAAGAGCCAAGCCGGGATTGCTTTAGGAGATGCGACCACGGAGATCACTTCCTCTTAGCTCACAGCCGTGAACTTGTCAAGGCACACTGAAGAGTCCTGGTGGGAAATCAAGTGCAACGCTTCAGCCTGTCCATCACCAACACTAGGAGTGGTTTCCTCCAGTTTTTCATGGATGGATGTATTTTTATCATTAAAGAAGTGAAGAAAGTCGATCCTGCTCAGTGAGCTTGGTATTTTAGGCTTGATTGCTCTATGGCAGTTTTTTGTTTAGCACCGTCGCTAAACTCACAATCTACTGTTGTTTTCATTCGCTTCTATTAAAGTTGAGATTGAGTTTGAGCCCTACGAAGTGCATTCTTGTAATTTCAGAGACCTGCTCTCCACTCCCTGTGGATAGGCTCTGAGTGGGAGTGGCGACATAGCCTCTCCAGTTTTCTACAACAACAACTTATTCTTGTATAGCCCTAAATCACAACAGAAGTCCTCTCAGAGGACTTAACAAAACCATTGAAATCACCAACACAGATCAGAGAGTCAACAGTTAAGACACAAAATATACACATATGAATTGGTCCATAGTGAGAGTCCATGAATGTTGATAAATGTCCATACATGTTGTAGAATGTTAAAGTGTCCTGGATCATCACCACAGTCCTTCTAGTTGGACACTAACTGCCCAACAGACCCTCCTGCATCTGCAAGGAAAAACTCACAAAATCCTAGTGGGAAAAAAAAATGAGAAACCTCGGAGACCCACATTTGAGAAAGGGATCCGCTCCTACACGGACGGACCTGCTAATGATCCAGGACCTAAGCTACAGAACGAGGACCAATGCCACGCAGCGGCCGCAGAGCGTGGACAGGTCCGGTGCAGGACTTGAAGCTCTCCCAGGCGGGTTGGGAAGGGCAGTCTGTGGGCGTAGATGGATAGGGCCGGTTCAGAGGTCCCGTTGTCGCGCCATGAAACAGACAATAGGACAACGGGTGAATAGCAATGAACACACTGCAGTCAAAATCTTAATAATGCAGACAGGTGCAGGACTGAAGCGCTCCCAGGCGGGTCGGGCAGGGCAGTCCGCAGATGAAGGTGGAGGAGGCCAGGTTCAGAAGTCCCATTGTCGCGCCATGAAACAGACAAAGGGACAACGGGTGAATAGCAATTAACACACTATAGACAAAATCTTAATAATGCAGATAGAGTAGGAAGGAGGAGAGGATAGTGCTCACGTTACCATACTTTTCCCAGCATACTGACTCCCTACGCGGCTTGACTGGCAGTCTGAAGGTACGTTCACACCGGACTTGACTTCAAAAGCATCAGGTTTGCATCGAAACAAAATGTTTAATTTATTTATTTAGTCTTTATTTGAAGGGACAATGTACAGAGACATTAAGCTCAAAGACAGATATGTTCTGCATCAGATTATAACTTAAAGACCTTATGCCGGGTTTAAAAAAAAAAAATTGTGGATATCAAAATTGCATGACAATGTCAATCTGAAAGAGATTCCGGCAAAAAAAATCCTATATTTTACTTACCACTGATGCCCAACACAATACTGCACTCTACAGGTGACAATTGCTCACTACACATAAATTGCCGTTTTGAGAGTGAAAAAGTGTCTGAGGTGGGATTTGAACCCCAGTATCTGGATTGCCAGTCCATTGACACAACCACTCACACTCGCTGTACACATCCTTGTCATCTTGAATATCCGCGAAAAAAGAACGAATACCAAATTGTAAACAACTTACAGCGTTGAAACGTACCCACTCTGACGTCACCAAGGGCTGTGAAGTTTTTTTGTTTCTAAGGGCGTTGCTATGGGGTTATTTCGATTTGGGGGGATCAGACAAAAAAAACAACTACTGATTTTGAAACCTTTAGTAGTTCTCTTCTAACATAAAATGGTATTAAAACTGTATTTCTAAATAAATCAAACCCGGCATAAGGTCTTTAACAGCTAGTTTCCATCTGCTGTCCCTGGTTACATAAATACTATGCATGGATACAGTAATGTACAATTAGTGTTTCCATGCCATCGCAATACAACACACTCTCTCTGATTCAGACTGACACACATACAGTTAGCCTTTTACCTGTTTGTTAAAACCACATCTCATTCACAGCATCACACATGCCCAATACATCTGCTCTGTCAATGTCATTAACACAACCATACATTCAGATGATATATTTTAACAACAGATTCAGTGCATTTCACATCTCATCATACATTGTTCATTTACATCAGTTGTCCTGGGTCACGGCCTCAGAGCGCACCTCAGTGTTCGTGTGAACAGCTTTGATTGCTCCATAACCACTTTTTAAGTTCTACTGTAAATGTAAATTAGTCTGTTTGACTCTTCAGGTCTGTAGTGAGCTCGTTCCATTCCTTTATATGAAAATGCAGATTGTGCAAAAGCAGTTTTACACCTGGGTATGCTGCACTGCTGCGCATGTATTAAATTATTTCACATTCTAAAATTCGAAATGCTGAATATGACCTTCCTTCCTCAAGTGGAGGAGTTCAAGTATCTCGGGGTCTTGTTCACGAGTGAGGGAAGGATAGAGCGCAAGATTGACAGGCGGATCGGTGCAGCGTGCGCAGTGATGCGGTCGCTGTATTGGACCGTCGTGGTAAAGAGGGAGTTGAGCCGAAAGGCAAAGCTCTCAATTTACCGGTCAATCTTTGTTCCCTCCCTCACCTATGGTCATGAGCTTTGGGTAATGACCCAAAGAACGAGATCGCGGATACAAGCGGTCGAAATGAGCTTCCTCCGCAGAGTGGCTGGGCGCTCCCTTAGAGATAGGGTGAAGAGCTCAGTCACACGGGAGGAGCTCGGAGTAGAACCGCTGCTTCTCCACGTCGAGAGGAACCAGTTGAGGTGGCTCGGGCATCTGTTCCGGATGCCTCCTGGACGCCTCCCTGGGGAGGTGTTCCGGGCACGTCCCACCGGGAGGAGGCCCCAGGGAAGACCCAGGACACACTGGAGGGACTATGTCTCTCAGCTGGCCTGGGAACGCCTTGGGGTCCCCCCGGACAAGCTGGAGGAAGTGTGTGTGGATAGGGAAGTCTGGGCGTCTCTGCTTAGACTGCTGCCCCCGCGACCCGGCAACGGATTAAGCGGAAGAAAATGGATGGATGGATGGAAATGCTGAATATTCTCAAGATCAGGTTCAAGGATTAGAATGACCACAACCAGTGCCTCATCTTCGTCCTCTGTCCGCAGGCTGCAGTCTACTCCTGTCCAGTCTCAGTGTGTTCCTCATTTACCTGGTGAAGACCAAAAGCCACAGTCTGCTCCTGTCCTGTGTCTTCAGCGGAGTCTCTGTCATGGTCTGGAACGCTCTGGACGTGGTGGGCACTGAGCTCTACCCCACACACCTGCGGTAAACCCCCCACACGCTACAATTCAGTGTCACAAAGACAAATTGTTTTCTCTCCCAGTATTTCACGTGTCTTCACAAGTGAAGAAGCTTAGAATAAGTCACACGAGGGACAATACTTGGGTGAATGAAGCTATCACTCCCAGAGTTCCAGCCGTTACACAAACTGCTCTTTCCAAAAGTCAAAAAGTTGACTTTTTTAAATTCTAGTCTCTCTATCTGGTCTCTCGTCTGTATCTGGTCTCTATAGGAAGCCCCGTGTACCACTAGAGGTACCACTAGAGGTATCACTAGAGGTACCACTACAGATTATAAAAACAGACACATACAGTACAATTTCATAAAATTACGGATTATAAAAACAGTTAAATTTAAATGAGGATGAGTCAAGTGCTCTCAATCTGGATCTAAAAGCATTCAATGAAATAAGTTCAGATAATTTCCAGTCTTTTTGAAACACGTTCAATGTAGAAGGAGCAGCCTATTCAAATGCTTTTTTTTTTACCAGTTCTGTGTGTGCAAAAGGAACAGAGAGCAACAAAAGATCATTTGATTGCAAACCATATGAACCAACATCTCTTTGTGTGAGTAAATGGCAGATGTAAGAGGGCAGCAGACCAAGCATAGCCTTATAAACAAAAGTGCACAAGTGTTCTGCCTTGTTTTTGATGAATACTTAAGCTTACTACGCTACTGTATAGTGTTGGTCATTTGTGGTGGTACTTTGAGAGGCAAGTATTTTCTGAGGTGGTACTTGGTGTAAAAAGTTTGAGAACCACTGTAGTCTCTCTCCTTGGTTTCTCTGGTGCCTCTTGTTCTCTCTGGTGTCCTGGGTGCACTGCACTGTGACTTTAGAAGACTTGATTTGAAAGTGTGATGTTTTTTTTTTTACTTTTACACCTTCCCGTTACTGTCAAAAAACTACGGACGTGTTTCAGAATTTGATACAGAAATAAGACCAAGCATTCAACAGTTCAAAATCAATCAACATTTAATTCTCTTTATAATTAAATATTAATTGTAACTAGCCCCATGAGCGGAGCCAATTTAACTATCCCTCCAGGCCTGAAAATGAGAGAGGACAACCAGTCGCTCTGAGAAGTCCTTTCTCTCTCTGTCGCTGTTCAGACAGCTCAACAAATGTCCTACTAAACACTTTTATGAAAATGTATGAAAGAGAGCGGAAGTGCCTCTGCATACGTCATCTGGATCCTTTCCAGTCCCTTGAGTCTGGTCTGGTCTGGTTTTGGGTCTCATCCCTTGTCCCAATAAGAGAGGCATGCTCTGTTTCTAAAAGGATACTTATATCACAGAAACCAACATTGTCCTTGAAACTTCCCTGAATTCACTATACTCAGGCTAAACATATTACAAAAGGCTTTTTATGCAAACATTTCACGATAAGATATAGAATTTTATATTTTCATAGTTGTTGATACATGGATGACAGAAAATAGAAATGTATCTGCTGTATTTACCTTGTGGTAAAAAGCTGACACAGGTCCAAACAACAAGATCCTTTTGCAATAGTAGTCCAGAGTCGAACCCTCATTCTCCGTCTTGTACTTTCAGCTCCTCAGCTCTGGGTTTTTTTACTGGAGTGGGTCGAGTGGCAGCAATCATGGGGAACATGGTCTTTGGAGGTCTGGTGGACACGGACTGCGCCGTCCCCATTCTTCTGGTGTCTGGACTCTTGCTGACCGGAGGCATCGCAGCCCTATGGCTGCCACAGACCAAACGCACTGAGCTCACATGACCACTATGGACTTGACTCAATGATATCAACCGTTTTCCTATTCAGTTAAATTCATGTTATATGCGTATAGCCCTAAAACACAAAAGCAGTCGCCCCCGGAGGACTTTAAAAAGTTGGTAACAGATTAGAGAGTCAAACAGTTCGACCACAGGAAATGCTATATTATACACATAGGAGCCTTTTGTCCATAGGGAGCACTATCACCTCTGTCCGTAAATGTCCTTAAATGTCCCAGATCGTCACTTTCCCTAGAACCTCCTGAATATGCAATTTTGTGAATTTCTTCAGTGAAACAAACTTTACAAATGTGTGGCATTAATTGCATTGTTATGTTATGTTGATAAACACATATAAAGTGTATAAACCAAATGTTCTACATTATTAATAATTTTAAATTCTAAAGTAAGTAAGTAAGTAATCTTTATTTATATACCGCCTTTCACAGACCAGAGTCTCAAAGCGGTTTACAATTGTTATTTTTGGGCATTTGTCCTCTCACTCCACACAGAGATGGGAGCGGGGTCGCCGAACAGGAGGCGCATGCCAGACCTATTTTACATATTTTTAGTGGTAGGGGAAACCGGAGTACCCGGAGGAAACCTACGCAGACACGGGGAGAACATGCAAACTCCACTCAGAAAGGCCCTGGTCCGATCGGGATTCGAACCCAGGACCTTCTTGCTAAGAGGCGAGAGTGCCACCAGGCTGAGTGGATAGCACTCTAAAGGCCAAAATAAATATTCTCAAGAGACTACTTGTCCACTTTAGCTGCTGCAATATGACTTTTCTATGCTTTAAACATTATTACAGTGCTATTTGTCCTTAATACAAGTTTTTCTACAAGTTTTTTCATAGATTACCTCAATATTTAGTAAGAGAGTGATCTTTCTCTTTCATTCGCAAGAGGCAACAAACGGGTCTATGACACGCACAACATGATGCAGCACAAGCTGGAGAAGAAAATGGTTCTAAAATAATGTCGTCCAAACAGGACGGTGGCTGAGTGGATAGCACTCTCGCCTCTCAGCAAGAAGGTCCTGGGTTCGAATCCCGGTTGGACCAGGGCCTTTCTGAGTGGAGTTTGCATGTTCTCCCCGTGTCTGCGTAGGTTTCCTCCGGGTGCTCCGGTTTCCCCTACCCCTAAAAATATGTACAATAGGTCTGGCATGCGCCTCCTGTACTGGCACCCCTGCTCCCAAAAATAACAACCGCTTTGAGACTCCGATGTGCAGTGAAAAGGCGGTATATAGATAAAGATTACTAAAAGATTACTACTATTACTACAAATAGTACACAATAAATATTCTGTTTGCTGGGGGAGAAACCAATACGGCGAATCAGCATGCACAGCATCTCCCGAGTCCAGCGTATGGTCTGTGTCTACCACTTGGAGCTATACTGTTTTTATGCTATTGTCAGTGACTAAAAGTGTTAGCATTATGTTAACTTAAAGAAAATTTGCACGTTTTTGGGTGTAAATATGTGACAATACTATTTGGCCCGTACCCAAGGAATGCGGCGAATGTGACTGGACTTTTTATTTCATGCACTGGAAACGGCAGCAACTCCTAAGTAGTGAGGTATATTGTAACTGCTGTAACCACTCCAACCACTAGGTGGAGCAGTTGTATTGTCATTACAACTTGAGAGCTGCAGTAAAGAGATCTATTACGCACCCGAGCCTCGTGTCACTCGTATGTATATCCATCCATACTTCCCTGTAGGCTCCTCACTTCATGATTAGGAATAAATAAACCTTCTGTTCCTAAATTTACCACAATTAAGGATTTACTGACAACAAATAATGTAAAAACTTTGGTTTGCATGTTAACTGTCATGCATGTGTACCGAGAAATGAAACCTGTCTTGAAAAAAAATCACACATTTATTTAAAAAAATTTTTTTTTTAAAGTGCACCAATACAATTATTTACAAAGTGTCTTGGTGAAGAGTGTCAGTTTCGGCGGCCACTCATGGCTTCCACCAGCTGGCCCAGGAGACCAAGAAACGATGGTTAAATGCAGCCGCCTGTGCATTTTCCTCCCTCCTCAATGTCGCTTCCAACTCTTGCGACTCCGGTTCAGCTCCTGCTGCACCACATCTTCAGCTTGGATCTGCCTCATCATTTCTACCGTCTCCGTCTGGAAGAGCGCCCTTTTTCTCTTCCCTGTACAACAATAAAAAAAGTATTAACAGTTGGTAATTATCCGAAGCAGTGACATTTCTGGAGACATACATTTATGTAGGCAAAAAGATTATTACGTTTCAGAACAGTATATATCACACTACCCGAGATGTTGCAACAACTACCCTTTCAAAGAGGAAAAACCTCCACTAAAAGAAAGTGTTACGTGTGGGATTATTTGACTTAATTGCAAATCGGGTAATGTTTGTATGTCATGTTTCACGCTTTGTCAATAAATAATATTTAATGGTCAATGTTTAGGCATTTTAGGACAAAGCATGAGCATGACTTAAATACACCCAGATTAATCAAATCAGTCAGTGCAGCTAAAATTACATTTTAATGCTGCATTTCTTTTTTACAGCAAAGTAAAGTGGTATTTTATCACAAATTAGATTTTTTATTTGGAAAAAGATCACTGACAGGTGGTTCGATTCCTTTTTTATTGACATTCTCTAAAGCTAGGATGATAGTGTCCAAAATATGCATTAATTGGACATACTTCACCGAGTTGAATGCAATTACTTCTGAGATCCACCAGGTGTCGGTATAGAGCTGCACTGTTGCGGCACAGTATCAATGTAGTTGTATTTTTTTTTTTTGCTGCTATAGGACATGAATTTCTCCCAGGTTGATGAATAAAATATCTATCGATCATGTATTATGTCTGCCCTGCGCCTTACCCGTGTCGCTCGCCATTAAAGGGAACGCATCTCCAGGTGTCGAAGCTGCAGCTGGTTCTGGAGGGATTGGGGACGGGGACCTTGGGGGGTCGTTCGACGCTTCACTTGCGACAAGGGATTCTAAGACAAACACACACAACGACTTAAGTAAAAGCACAAAACTGAATGGCAACACGTGAAATGGCAAGATGTAGCACGTGTTAGCAGCTTGCTATCGATAGCTTAAAGTAGCTAGCTCACTTTGTACAGCAGACAACAATCAAACGTTTACATGAATAAATACAATCCAGTGGGCATTGAGCCACAGGTTACGTGATAATGCATTTTCACAATAACTACAGATAAAAGTTACAAAGCACTTACCATTATCGCCCATTCTCGACGTGGAAGAGTCCAGACCACACTCACGTCCATTGTTTGCAGGCCTGTGGCCATAAATGGCATCCATCTCGGCATACCACCTCCAGGTCTTCCGATTGACCCCACTTCGGCCGTTGTGGTCCTTTATGGCCCGGTAATCACACTTAATCTTTTTAATCTTGTCCCTGCACTGCTGGTGCGTGCGGTGGTAACCGTGTGTGAGCAAGAGCTGGGCGATCTCTTTATAGACCTTCTCATTTCGCGTACTGCCATCGAGCTCCTTCTGTATTCTGTCTTTGGCCAGTAAAGACAGAAATGTTTGGACCTCATCAGCAGACCACAGTGTGGACTTTTGCGACTTGCTGGATTCCATTTCTCTAAGAGGAGTGCAGGGCGTATGCTCACAGGCAGTTTTAAAAATGGCGGGGTTGAATCTTGTCTCTCAATACGGTCAGACGTCACACTTATGACGCTTCCAGTGACGACAGTCGTTGGCCAATAGTGTGAGAGAGCCGTTGGCCAATAGCGTAGGCAGTCCGCTTACGCCACGAGAGTGTAGCTTTTTGGAACCGCTCCCGAGGCGGTCCGAAAATAGAACACAATACCTAGCTTCAACGCTAGTGGAAATGCAAAAGTAACGCGCCATGTCGTGTAGAGAGGTGTAGTGCCGGTGCTGTGGAAAAGCGCTATATGTTATTGAGGCCACAGATGCACTGAGTGAAGAAACCTTAAGAAGACTCAAAAAGGCAACGGCAGAAGACACTGAGCTGCTGGCAGTGTGTGAAAAACACATGTCTGGATGGCCTGACTGGAAAAACGTTTGGACAGAGGGCGCTCCACAGCTTTTGGTCAGTGCGTCACAATATCTCCATTCATAAGGACATTGTTATGGTCAGTGACAAAATCATAATTCCACAAAACTTCAAAAAACAAGCAATCCTGGAAAAATTGCACCTCGCTCATCAAAGCTAAAGCAAGGAAAGTGCTTTACTGGCCTGGTATGTCAAGTGATATAGAGGCTATGGTTGAAAAATGTGTACAATGTCAGAAAATGCAGCCAAGGCACCAGGTAGAGCCGCTTATGCCACACCCAATCCCAGAGTTACCATGGTTGAAAGTAGGAGCTGACATGTTTGAGTTGAATTGTCAGTCCTATCTACTTTTAGGCTATATCCACACGAAGACAAAACGCTTATAATTTCAGAAACTTTTTCTGTAAACACTGAGTTAGCTCAGTAAATGTGTGCGTCCATATGAATGTAGTCAATACGCCTGAAAACGCTGTGAAACTATGCCAGACCTGTTGGTGGCGCTGTGACGTAATGACGGGATCAAGCCCAAACTTCCGTGGGCATGCGCGGAATTTTGTAAACAGACAACATGGCGAGTGGGCGAGCTGGTACTACATTAGTATGGACGGACGATGAGGTTGAACTGTTGCTTCGGGTCACACTGGATTACAAAACCAACAAGCTACATTGTTGTTGTCATTATTTTCTGAGTGCGGCGCATGCGTGCTTTAACAAGAGGCGGGGCGATGACGCAAGCGTCTCAGATACATTGCGGAGAGGCAGTAACCACGGAGCGGCATACAGAGTTTTGAAATCTTTCCACTCTGGGACCTAGTTTCAAAAATGTTCGTTTACACCCCCCCAAAACGCCGGCCTCGTATGGACGATACACTGGATTGATAAAGTATTTTTGCGTTTAGGCCTGAGCTTGACTTCGTGTGGACAGGGCCTTAGATGATTACTTGACCAAGTATCCAGAGG